TTTTTATCAATAAACTTTAGTATATCCAATTTCTGTTTGTCCGACTGCAAGAATTTGTAATGTTGGTTCGACATCAACAACATAAACACTGGTTGATCATGATGGTAGCTGGTCTATATTTAGGACAGGATGTCAATAGTGCTTTGTTAAAGCCTCCCTAATGAGGCTGAGAACATTGGATCATGGAATCTTGATGACCGGGATTCATGTTGGTTCATTTGTACTGTGTAAGTGTCACGTCTCTTGTCAGGTCTCGGAGTCTATTGTGTCACTGTTTTTAGAAAGGTACATGGATGATATGGGTCATATTGTGTTGTTAAATAAGGAATTGTCTTGTGAATATGAACCTATAAGGGATATGTCTACAGTGTACTGTGGCAGGTCAGAACATCTAATCATCAATTTTGACATTTTAATCATAAAAAATACACAGCTTTCTTAATAAATGTTTGGATATTTACTTTACGTTTCATTTTCTCCAAAATAGACTTAAAAAAAAACAAGAACAAACTGAGGAACATAAGTAATAAAACTTCTGGATAATTTGGGAAGCTTTTCAAGAATATGATTAAGTAAGCTTTGTGCGGACTATAAAGGCATTTCCTGTGAAGACCTAAAACTCTGGATATAAATGATAAATTTGTTGTCGATTTGATGTCGTACTTTCCTTACTGTTGAGACCAGTTGTGTAACAGCTTGAGATGATGATTGTTTTTCCGCCGAGTTTATGCTAATTGGCTTTTATAGGTTTTAAATCCAATGTACGCTGGAGAGTAGAGAAGCTACGTAATGTTGTAATCAATTTCTCTATTCCTTCTATGTAATAAAAGTTAATTAAAAAATAAATCTATTTTAACACTTTTTGCTGAGGCTGTCAAGAGTTTGTTTGCCTAACATTTGTTTTATTTTGCAATTTCTAAGATGCATGAAATTGAGATTTTTTTTCTGTTAAGCTGTATTCACATTTTTGTGGCCTATCAATTCAATTCTCGTTGCACGGTTTATCCATTACTTGATGGCCAATACAAGTTAAACAAATCTTGTAACTATTTCATCACCAGTACAGAAATTCTTTTCCAAAGGGTTTGCAAAATATAATTGAAATTTTTATGGCATAATGTAATTGGTATTCTAGATTGGAAACAGATGATTAAGTTATTGTGTGATTAAGTAAGTATTTGGCTGGGAGGAAGAGGCACAGATTGTGTTATGTAAGGCAGAACATCAAACAGTATCAACTCCAGAACGCACTGCCATTAGATTGGTGCACGTTAGGCTACTGACATTAAAATAGATACTCGCTCTTCTGTGTTTCATTTAAAACATGCTGGGAAGATTTGTAGGAAGGCAAATTGAATTTAGATTTAGAACTATTGTGAAGAGAATAGAAGATAAAATTTTTGTTAAATGTTTGTAAGAATGCAATAAAAGGTCTTCACTGGAAAGCCAGTTAATTGTGTCAAAGAGAAATTTAAAAATTATCTGAAATTCCAACCTTATTTTTCGTGTAAATGTGGTAGGATTTAGCTAAACATCACTTAATCTTTTACGCTCACAATACATTTAGAAGTTGATTCATTTTCAAGAAAACAATTACAACCTATCTGAATTAGAAACAATTACGATCTACCGGAATAAGAATTAATTACAATTTACTGAATTGTAACAAATTACAATCTACTGGAATTAGAATTAGTTAAATCTACTGGAACAAGAAGTCATTCTTAACATGTTAGTTGCAAAATGGCCAAATGTTTGTGCTCAATTAAGTAGAAATAATTTTGGTGTTCCTGAAGCGATTGAGTAAGGTTGTGTGATAATTACTGTTGTCCCTGTACTGACCAGGTAGAGGTGATTGGTCTGGTATGTACAGTATGACTGGTCAACTCACCTGTCCAGCTGGACAGCTATCTGACCTAGTTATACGATTGCACAATCTAGACATACCAACTGGTCAGTATTTAGTTATCAAGTTCATCTTGTCCATATAAGATAGATAGTTACCCTGGGGGCATCACACTTAGAACAGAGGGCACAGACAAAACGCATGTAGGACAAATTATAACACAAGTAGGACTTACTGAGGACAAAAATAAAACCTGTTTGTTACTGTAACAGATGACATAGACAAAAACACATACAGGTCTGTATATTATAGAATGTGGGGTCCTGTCCCTGTGTTCCTGGAGTTGTTATCAGATCAGAGATTTTATCAGGTATTTTATTGAAAGTGGCCATCGGACATTTGTGAAGATGACTTGCTAGGAGATGGATGTGTCATTGTGTTGTGTTATCACTCAATACAACGGAAGTAATTTAGTTCACCTCAGCTATAATGAGACAATAAATTTGGCTTCTATTCCATCTTGGCAACATGGACATTTGAAATTTATCAAAGCAAAACGTGCATAAGATGATCTACCTGTCCATTTGTTATAGTTACTAACTGATAGCACGGATTAAAGGTAAAAATAGAAACCGTTTATCAATTAGCTACCTTTTAAAAGTACAGATGGGAATCCATTCATAAATCTTCATCACCTGATGATTTAAAACTAATCTGTCATCAGTTATGATTTATTTTGACTAAACAGATCTGTCATAGCGGGGTTGGTGGGTTTGTCTGCCTACTGGTTGGAGTTCGAGACTGCAGTTGTATGGATGTATGACCCATTATGAAGTTGTCTTTTATCACACCCTGTGATGTCACCACTGTTTGTGGACAATTCTGTAATAGAGATTTTTGTTTTACACAATGATTGTTTAACATTATGTTACTGGTTATTTGCCAGATCAAAATGGGATAATTTCCTACATGTGATGATGGAGCAAGTCGACAGAATTATAGGCCAGTCTATCAGCAGCTCTATATTCATGCTTATAGATTGTAATACAGTTGTTAGCTCAATATTTAGGTTGAACGACAGTAAAATTAAATGTAGCAACGCCCTTCTGTTTTGGGAAAGGGGTACGTCAAACAGGGTACATCAAACATACATATTTATATGTTACATCTACGACGTACTTCAATTGTAAAAGTGAAAAGTTGTGGATCTTTTAAATAATTATGGTGTGGAAATTTTTCTGTTGGCAACGGTAATATATCTATATTTATACATTCATGTGTGGATGTCTTCATGTTAATTTACTTAAAGTGAAAAACGCAAGCATTTCAACACTGCGATACTTTTCAGTTCTGCAGTATGTTGATAGTAAGGAGGTGACTTTCCTACACAAATGTATCCCCGATTCACAACAAGTGACAGTGTGTCAGTTTAGCTCTGAGCCTTGTGAAATACAATTATGGGTGGCATGCATTGTTTCCACTTATCATACAACTATAGATTATAAGGTTATGTATCATACCACTATAGATTATAAGGTTATACATCCCTTCACACATGTATGAGGCTAGTGTTGGTCATGGCTGATAAACAAAGAAAGTGATGCTTCCCTCTCTGTCAAACTGACCAAGGCATCAGATCTCGCTTAAGAAGTAGTAGCCTTAAAATGATAAGGATGGCCTTGAGTGACCTTGGAGACTGATATATTTCCCCACCCCCCCAATTTGGTACACTGATAGGCTATTAAGTCACTAACACTTGACAGGGATGATGAATTTTGTATGATTTCCATATGAGAACTGCCCCCTCCTTCCTGCCTCTGCCTGTCCTCCTCAATAAGTTGACAGGATCATTAACACAATTTTTCTGTGGCCTGCATCAGTTCAATGAGAGGCTGGAGACTGGTTCGCTATTTAATCATGATGTGATACAAACCAGTTGCAGTCATCCTGATGTAGTACCCTTAACTATCGAGATGTCATCTCCTGGTTAAAGCAGTAACTGCTACAATATCGCCCCTAGTTACAGCCATACTGCCAGACTATCATCCCCGGTTACACAACAGTAATGACTAGAATAAAGTTCCCCTGGTTACAGCAATAGCTACATCAATATTGCCGCTGGTTACAGCAACAACTGCTAAATATCACCCCTGGTTACAGCAAAAACTGTTCAAATATTGTCCCTGGTTACAGCAATGCTACAATGTCCATTTGGTTACAGCATTATTTTTCAATCCTCAGCTATAGCTTCATTTCATCTCAAATCACACTCGTGATTGTTCTGGAGAAGCTCTGGTTTTTCCTGGTTGAAGGATGGTTTTGACTGGTGGGAATGTCAGATCTATAGATTCTTACAAGGCAGATTCTGTTTTGGCCATATAAGTTGTTTATGATAGGTACTTCACCTGTTACATTATGTTCCATCAATCATATTTCAATTCAAATTTTAAGATTGAGGGATGGCCCTGCCTTGCCAATATGTCATACTTTCAATTTGTGGGTTTCAGATGTATTTGCATTGCATGTATTGGTCAAATTTTAAATGGGAACCATCAATTTATGTATATGGCTGAATTAGTTTTTTTTACACATGCTAATGTGTCTGTATCTGTAACATAGATCTTCATGGAATTTTCTTGTTTTTACTTTTCCTGTCATGTTTCAAAATTCATCAAAGAATATTTTGATCAAACTTGTTTCTAAGCATGCATTGATACATTTGTTTTCTGTTCACATTGCAGTTTAAACACGTTAACACATTCTGAAAAGATTTATGCAATTTGCATATTTCAACAAGTTTTGACAGTCAGTGCTATTTTTTGGATGGACTGAAAGGCAGAGTAATTTACATATCCCAGTACATATTGACAGATTTGTCAGACAGGAGGTCTAGTGCTGGCATGTCTACTGGTGCTTGTCTTCGTTTTAACTTGTATTGATCCGAGTCGTCTCAAACATAAACACACACTACATCACATTTCCCCTTGGATATTATTTCTATAAATTTGGGTTTCCAATGCAAGACGGTACAAACAGAAAGTAAATGAATGAATCCAGTCTTTGAAAACCATGCCACGATAGGACAATTTATGTTTTCATTTATTTTGGTCACAATTCATGTTGTAAAATAGAATCTTACTTTCTGTCTTTGCAGATCGAGGATGCAATGCTTATGTTTGACAAGACAACAAATCGTCACAGAGGTAAGACCGCGACACCGTGGCCGCATGTTGGACCTCGTAGCAGCCTTCCCTTGCTGATTCATTTCGCTATTTACTGTCCTATCTGCTAGAGATAGTGATGGCAATATTATAATAAACCCAAGTCTGATGTGGACTTGTCATGGTAGTACATTATTGTTAGGTTAACTAGAAAAGGTCTGCTGTCTTATTACGGTTAGGGGAATACAATGTAGTGCTATATATTTATATAATATATAGAAACACCTGCCATTTTCATCGTTTTTTTTTCAGTTTTCATTTTGTAGACAGGGAGATAACCCTGAAGTAACCTGTAATCAGTAGCTATATTTACCCTGTTTACCAGGTGGTAATGGGTTCACCTATCGGGTGGAACATTTCTTTTCAGAAAATTTATTGTAGCACATTTTTTTTTGATACATGTATCGTATAAGCAAGACATTTATTTTCCTTCCAAGCAACCTTGCATGCTCAAGTACACACTAGATCAGTTAGTTCAACACTTTCACCTGTGAAGTTTGAAAGCACTGTTAATTCATGTAAAAATCGGTGTTGGTATCAACTGTCCATCATTAACATCTAATAGTAAACACTAGTAGTAACTGGTGTGTAGTTTAAGTGTTTGTCCATTCAAATAATCCTTGTACTGTTGGTGATCTGTGCTGTGCCGTCTTTGGCCCATTGTTGGCCCTGTGTTTGGCCCATCTTTTTCTTTTGTCCCTCACCTGTGATTTGGAATATGTGTGGTCTGGTGTGATATGTGTACAGAGTTGCTCAGATGGTAGATGATGTCCCTTTCCTTTTTATCAAGTATACCATCCTGTTTCTGTGGAATTGGTGTTTAACCTCCTATCAAATTTACCCTGCAATAACCCCAGGGGCCTCAACACACCATCTCAGACTCAAAAAGGGGTTGGTATTATTTTATATACTAAAAGAGGACATGAAATAACTATAAATAGATATATGGGCGGGGCTTATTATCAGGCATGGGCTTTTTGACAACATTTAATGAATATTCCTTGTGTAGCCATTTGTAGGTATGTGGAAACAGCTGCAATCATATGTTGTGATGGCCAATTAATTTACAGCCAAGTAAGTGAGAAAAGTTATTATCTGTGTTTTGGCCCATTGGTAAGGTCTTTTAATAATCATCTTGCCCTAAGGTCGTGTTTATGTGTAGAGTTTTGGAATCTTCCTATCTCCTCATTAGTAAGTCAGGCATGAGCTCTAAAAGCCAATGTAGAACAAAAAGTCGACTTGTATAAACAATATTCTGTACTCTGTCTAATTACACAACCTATAACCAGGGATAAAGTTCTAAACAGAGGCCAGAAATCTTTCTCTTTATAAGCCACACACAAGAGTTCTGTGGAGGTAATTTACGATGGTGGAATGGTGAGAATCTCTTTAGTCATGCAGCAAAAACTAGCTGGCTTTGGTTCTTTCATGAAAGGTTAACAACAATAGCAGATGTGTTGGAACGCTGTATAGAAGGTAGATCACCCCAGAACTTTCGGCACCTACAATAGTACGCCTCATTAATATAATCGACATGAGCATTTCCTACAGCTAGGAAGGGAACTTTTGATTTTTGTTTGTTTTTGGAATGTCATTGCCCAAACGGTTTTTGTCCCATAGCGACCTGGGTTTTACATCTACAGATAGATTGGTTTACTGATGGTTCAGTCTGGTGTCAGGATGTTTGTCATGCCTGGCAGATTGGTTCCCTGCTAGTATTTTGAGTCTGCTGTGGAGGTTTGCAATACCTGGGAGTGTTAGGTCTGACATATTTTCCCCCTGGAACTAAGTAGTATCTATCTGTTGCCTGCCATCATCAGTCTAGGCTTGGCGGTGCTGCCGTCAGTCTGAGCAGGGGCTCAGCGGTGCTGAGGCTGCAGGGATTAGTTCCTGTATGTCCACCTTGCCTGCATGCCTGTACACACTGCCGGGCAGGTGCTACTAAGGTTTTTGTTAGTACATGTAGTAAATAGTAGCCTGTAGTACTATAATAATGTAGTACTGCATCTTGTAGTTGTGTGTTGTACAATGTTGTAAGTACTATGTTGTACAGTGTTGTGTAACACAGTACACTAATGTATTTACAACAGTACAATCATTATAGTACTATGTAGCTGTAGACTGTATTATATAGCACTATGTTGTAGAATGTTTGCAGACTCTGTACAATGTTTGCAGACTTTATACAATGTTTGCAGACTTTGTAGAATGTTTGCAGACTTTGTACAATGTTTGCAGACTTTGTACAATGTAGCACTTTATAGTACAGTATGTATAGCTATGTAGAGGTAGTACACCAGTATAGTAGATGGCCCCATGTACAGCTGTCTTTGTGTTTTCTGGCTGTTTAACTGTCTGTACTGGTAGATTGTTTTCCTTTCCTGTCACTGTTGCTTTTTCTGTTCTGTACTTTGACTTTGTCTGGTAGAGTTGGACCTTTTCTTATACAATTGTAGTTGCATTTTCTAATGGTAGTCTTTAGTTCGTAGATAACATACTGTAGTGGTGACTGCGAGGGCTTTCTTTGGTATGTAGTTGTAGATTTGTCTAGGTGTTGTAGATTAGATCTCGGTAGAATTTAGTCTTGGTTTCAGAAAAATATGAAGATCCTACAAAGTCTGGAATTCTTGATTGAAGATTTGTGTTCTGATTGTGGTAGCTGGAGTGTGTTCTATCTTCTCTCAAAGTTGGAAATTAAAAGTGAAATATTGTGAGTGTTTTAAAAATGTCAAAGTTTCGAAGGAATTAGTGCTATGTGAAGTTTACACTTTGGTGAGGTGTGTCACAAACAAGATCAAGGTGATTGGAAATACTACTCCCATCTTCTGACTGGTGCCAAGGTTTTCTGCTGCAACAGTTTCTACGTTTTGGAGGCTCACAGACACCATAATGGCTGCCCTTACTGCCTATCATCCCTATGTTGTAATTGTTAGCGTTGGCACTAAATTGGAAAACGCCACCACTGTTGTTACGAAACGGATAGAAAGTCACAATGTTATGGTAACAACCACAACGCATTGCAACAAAGCTGACAGGGTCTGGAGGCGGCATTATAGCACTAGCCACTGCTCCAATCATCCCGATGGAATTATATGGATTTCTTCTCAAAATGAATATTAAAGCAATTAACATCGTATCAGAGCAATTCATTCAAGACTAGTGGCTGTAAGTCCTACCTTATGATCGGTAGATATTGAAAGAGCTACCTTGACCGGATGAAAATTCATTAAATGTTTATCATTGCTAAGAATTCAAAGAAAATTGATGACTTCCCTCCCCCTTTGAAATTGTTAAAAATAGTATTAATATGAAGGTAAATAATCCACAATATATTAATTTGAACGTAATAACCTCTTTCAACAAGGCGATAATGTGAATGTTGCCTTTTATGTCTGTTAATGATTGCTCCGGTACCATTGTTAACATCAAGGTTTGTATCCCCCGTAGCTTTAGAATCAGAAACACGCTAGTCCTACACAACACCGCCATTACTATGGCTTTTTATTTCAGAATATATCATTTGTAATGAAAATGCGTTACACAAACACAATAAATATAAAATATAAGGCCAAGGCCATGGCTCTTTCACATGTTAATAGCCGTAAGTACCGCCGATATCTCATTAGTACATATCTTCACTATCAAATGACTGGTACTTTAACGACCTTGATATCTTGTCTTCACAGAGGTCAAATTCGGTCTTATCAACTCGAAACCACGACCAGTAGAGCACCTAGCCCCGATCCAATCTGAGATGAGTCACTTCTGTAGACTGTTTTAATGTTAGATCACTATCATACACATTACAAACATTTGTGGATCCCATATCAACTGGGTATCGGAGGAAACGTCTTGGAGATGAAATACATATGCCCATATATAAAATGCTTTTAAATTTATTTTGACTGGAAATACTATGGTGCCAAGCCATATTTTGGGTTGGTATCAGAAGACCTAAAGCATAAAGATAATTGGAAGAAGAAGAGGTTGATATCTACTGTCAAAAGCTATCTGGGGATAAAGTATGATTAAATGTGTAGATAGTCAGTCGGGCCAAACTTTAGACTCCAAGTTGGAGGATCTCCATAGCAACTAGATGAAGATCTACAACTGCTACAAAAGAGTCTGTTCCATTTATATTGCCATGGGAACATAATGAAAGTTCTGTGTTTTTGATTGAAATAAAAATGCTTATGTTTTCCTGTGCTGATAAGTGTAAAAACAAATATCCTGCAGAAAGGTGTTAAAACATGTTACGATTCAGCTTGGTTACCCTGGTAACGAGGGATTCATATCATATGGTACCACCTGCCTTGTCAGTAACGTTCCTAAAGTGAGAAGGCCAACCCTTGGGTGTAAATTAACGAAAATACAGAAGCTTCTACGCTCTTTGGTTGCTATACTATTGATGTGGGAAAGAAAAAAAATATTTGCGTCTGAAGAAATTTCGGAAATTGTCAATTACTGTTCCCGAAATAGAGTATGAATGAAATACGATTGCGTTGTTCACTTGAAGTGTGTACAATCAGGAGATGACATACCACTCGTAAAAAATAACCATTGTTTTATTCACTACAGCCGAGAGAAAACAGAAACACTGGAGCACCCATTCAAGAAATATACAATAGATTTGGGTGTTGTGTACCTGCCATTTTGGTTGATAAAAAGATACAATGTTTAGGGCGTGTTTGTGTGGGACACATTGTACGAGGGGGGACAACAGAGGCCAATATCACTTGTTTATGGCGTTTTGTTTTCAGTCTCTCCGTACCACACAGAACGGTAGTACTGCCAAACACCAAGTCTCACCAGATCACCAATCAAATCTCATCAAATGTCAAAACATTTTCTTTTATTTATCTCCAACAATCTGTAATCTGGTGATATATAAACTAGAGCAATTTGATAAAAGTTGTCAGGAGAGGGGAGATACTTCCCTATTTTCTGATAGTTACGTAAAAATCTTATCGTAGCATTGAATA